TTTGTTTTTAATTTTATATTTTATTTGTTCACTTGTGTTCATTAATTTATTTAAATATACATGAAGAAAAGCACAATTTTGTTGTTAAGTGATGATTAATTGTAACTGTAAATATAGTATGAATGCGTGTATATTGCAATTAATAAAGTATTTACGTAATTTTGTTTTTTAAGATATTTCTTATAGAATATGCATCCACAATCAAGTGAATTTATGGTACTTTTTCAGTGCACCACCACAATGGTATAGAGGTATTTTCCCTTAGGGAAGTTCAAGAACCATTTCAAGCTGGCAAAGCACTCACAACCTTCTCTGTTAAAATGGGTTTGAACGCCAAGAGTTGACTTCTGTCCTGTCTGTTTACTTATGATGATGATAAAATGTTTGGTCCTCGAATATTAGAGAATACAAGGCTTTCTAGGTACAAAATACTCCTGCTCGGTATGGCCAGCATTATTGAAGCCACCGTCGCTTACGCCGTATTAAGGTAGTAGCCTCAAAAATCAATATAGAGCAGTCACATGTTAAAAATATTTGTACAGTACACTGTTTTTAATAGCTTGAACAACTTGAATCGATTTTTAATCAATGTGTTAGAATTATGAATTTTTACACTTAGCTTGGTTCAAAATATGTATGTCATGTATATCTGTTTGACTTTTGCATGTAAAAATCTATCATTACAATATGTTAACCTCCAGATAAAATATATAAACTACTAGCTGCCCTCGCGAACTTCGTTTATTCTTAATGTTAGTTTACTTAGCCTACTTATTTAGTACATACCAACATGGAACATTTTGCTATGCTAAAACCCAGAGACTGTTCCATTTTCCGGAATGAAAACTTTTTAGATTTTTCTGTGAATATTTCTCTATAGAATCCTCCAGAGTTGACGTCAAAAGTTTTTAATTAACAAATAAAAAAAGGGGTGAAAATGAAGGGTTGTGTGTATTTTTGTATGTGGTATCAAAAAAAAGTAAAAGCAAAAAAAATTGTCTAAAAATATACAAAGAAATTTAGGTGTGGACCACCCATAACAATTAGGGGGATAAAAAATAGATGTTGTCCAATTCACAGACCTAACCTAAATTTTGTGTGCATATTGCACACAAAATTTCACGAAAATCGGTTGAGCTATTTCAGAGGAGTTTAATAATCAATGTGACATGAGAATTTTATATATTAGTTTTTTTTCTCATGAACCAAATTATGGGCATCAGTATTTAGAATTTATTACACTTACATCACAATTATTTGCCATTCTGATTGTCTCATGTGAAACCACTTGCTGTTGTTCCACTTCTGTTCACAATCACATTGACCTACTTAACACTCCACCGTTTTACTACTTTTTTTTCAAATCTTTTGTAATTATTTCTATATTTTGTATTATTTTATGACAATATGGTAAACTAATTTGGACTTGATTTATGTAAGATATTAGATTAGAGTTTGATAACCTCACTGTGGCATTATATATAGTTTTAAACAAAATATTATTGACAATAGAAAAAAAAACATTGTTTTAAAAAAAATATACTTCATTAATACATTTAACAATTCTTTTGGAGAAAATTATTAAAACAACAATACTATTTCTAATGTTTAATACATTAGACAAGCCAGTTGATTTTATCTGGGGAAATTGAAATACTCTGATGTTTGTTTTACATAATTAAATAAAAACAAAAGGTAACAGCAAAACTATTATACAATATTTTCTACATCTTATAAGCAGTAACCTTACATGTCAAACACATTTTGTAAAGCTAATTCTGGCTTGTCATAGCCAAGTTCCTCTGGAGTTTCAATTCCCAGCTCTGAAAGTGCTGGCTTAATTTCTTGGATTATGTATGGGTAAATCTCATTTACTTTGGATCCACATTTGTCTTTGCAGGCCTCAATAAACCTCACAGCCAGGGCATAGTCATTCACCCGTCTGCAAGCATGCATAGCAGCAATGATAATCTTAGGATCAGGCACCAAATCCATACCACAGAGGTCATTCATGCCCTTGCGGATTTCCCACCCATCAATGTCTTTTCTGTTGAAGAAAGCTTCATATCTGCAACAATATTACTAGGTTATTTCTAATGTGTAAAGTAAAGTAGTGTTTCAACTTGCATGAAATGCAAGCGGAAACATTATCACCCTATAATGTTGTGGTATTAAAATGTATCTTATAAAGAAGCTTAAAAAAGGTATAATTTAAGTTAGTTAGTATGAAATTTGTGCCACAATAGATTATGAGAGACTTGTCTATAGCATGGAATATAGAGATAAGCGATTTGTATTTTCCTTGCATCCAAAGTACAAATTCAGAATTAAAAGTAAAAACGTGTAGAGCAACATTTTTGTAGAATAAAATGAACAGCAATATAAACACACAAAATAATAGCAAAAACTAAGTTACATAACGTCAAAATTTTCAGGAAGGTTACCTTCTGTCGAAGTCTTCATCTGATTCAACTGGGCCTCCGTGAGACCTTCTAGCAGGGAGTACTCCACAAACATTAGTGGCTGGCACCAAAGACCTCCTTAGGACATTCACCAACGTTCCCGAAGCCGATTTTAACATTTTAAAGGGAAAATCCACAGGAACTTTAGGAAAGATAACAAAATATGGCTGCCGGGCCGACTGGCAAATAGCATAGACTAAATGAAATTGAAGTTAGCTGATTTGCTTCTGTCAATCAATAATTTTGGTGCATGGGCATCTGTTCTATAGTCTTTGATTGTCTTAATATTTTTCATAACAGATGGCGTTAATAAATATGGGTTCATTTAAATTTTAATTAGGTAGTACTTAGTAAGTATTTCTGCAGGTTTGTGTAATAAGTAATTTGTTGAAGCCTATATCTAGTATTGTAGCTCTCAAATGAGTTTACTAATAACTATTCTTTATTTAAAGTTTAAACCTGTACACTAAACTGATTGAGTGCTCCACGAGGCTTCATCCATATCAGCTCAGCTGTTTACAAGATATTTTAATTGGAAATTGAGACATCACTAAGAAAAATGTCTGTACTCTGTATATATTTTTGCTTGGCCACATTATGGCGCGGTGAGGAAGTTTAGAATTTGGTACAAACTACCTAAATAAACTATTTTTTAATAAATAAAACCTTTTGACAATGCATGAGCCGAGACCAAAGGAATATTCACAACTTAGATTTTTAATAAAATTTTTATCCTTTACCAAACCTCCTCCTCTATGGAATAACTTTTATTCTAAACAATCATTTGAAAATTGCATTTTTATTGGGTCTATATATAAATAAAACATACAATAAATACTGAACTTACATTTATTTTAAGTGATATTATATTTTTATCTAATAGAACACATTAGTTACCACAGAAAAACTTGCATATTAAATAATTACGTCTAGTAATACAAAACATCCTGCTTAATTCTATGATTTCTTTATTATTTAGAATCTGATTTTTGTTGACCTTAAAAAAATATTTTAACTATGGATATTTTTACATTTTCCTTCTTCTCTTCTTTTTTGAAGCGGAGATGCTCTCTTGACCACTATCATCTTCACTGGAACTAGATGACGAGCTGTCACTATCACTACTGGAGGAACTGCTGTTTGAGGAGCTATCTGAAGCTACCCCTGTTCCCTGACTAAGATCAATACCACTAGCTATCTTATATAACTCGGGTTCCTTTGCTTCAAGTACTTTTATCCATTTCTTAGACAATTTAGGACGGCCTCTGACAGTTTTGTGCCATACAATCGGGAAATTAGTGCGACTGCAGAAGTTTTGTGTGACAGCCACTGTATCATCAAGATTGAGCACTACATGCCACCAACCTCCAGGAACAAAGACAGTTTCACCTGGCTTTTGGAGTATCTCCACCTAGAAAAAGTAAATTTATCAAAAACATAACAAGAAAAGTTTTATTATTGCTAAATAATGACGTATAAATAAAAAAACATCTTACAGGAGCATATTCCTTTGGCCATGAGTCTTGTTGGGTTTTGGGATAAATTAACTTAAACCATGTAATAGCTTCATCCCTCTGTTTACCTCCCATTGCACCAGTTACCTTAATCAATTCCCTGGGTGTGTTGGTGGGGAACAAGCACCATCTTTTATGACCAAAAACTAGTGCATTCCAAGCACTGGTGCCCAAAGGATCAATGTGAATGCCAGTACCAGATCTTTGAGGGCCCATCACAAACCAACGATATGGAGGTCTTCTCTCTTCTCCACAATATTTAAACAAATCGTCTCTAAAATATAAGGGTACTTCATAATCATCCATGAGCTTTTTTCGTCTTGGATGCTCACCAAAACTACTATCAAAAATATACAGTGGACTATCATCAGTCGTTGTCCTTATATACTCTGCATAATACTTCATTTTCATCTTAACACTATAACCCTCATTGTCCTCACCACATTTAAATTTTTGGTTCCTGTACTTTTTGGCAAGTCTCTCAAGTGTCCATTTATGGTTTGCACGCCAATTAGTTTGAACATTTGTAATAACTACTGGCTTATAAATCTTTTCATATTTCTCTATAAATTCTTGAGGTGAAGTTATACTGGCATCAATTCTATCTACATTATCATTACATTTTAGGAATTCTTCAAAGTTTGATGCATATTTTAAGGCAGTCCATTGGTGTTTATCAACTAATTCTGGAAATAATTACAAATCTGGTTTAGTAAAATGAAGGTATCTTAAAGTAAATGATTCAATAGCTAGGGTTTCACTATACTGTAAGTCCTAAATAAGTAGTATAGGTATGTTTTGAAAATAACTTTAACTCAGTATATTTAACAAATTTATGTTAAAATGTTTAAAATGAAATTTTAATGTATAATTTATGATGTGTTCTTTTTATAATAAACTAACATTAAAACATTACACTTAACTTCTAAAAGGTAATAATAGTTATAATACCTGGTCGAGCTTTTCGTTTGACTTCTTTTATACGTTTTTTAGCCTTATGTGATAGTTTGTACTCGCTGTCCATTGTGCTTGTTTGGTTTATGAAAATATGAAACCCCACTCTTTTCAGTTGTTCTTTTTTTTACAAACTTAACCTAATTTATGAAATTTTGAGTTTTGACTTACAAAACTAAATGACTACAGACTAAAGGCGTACTTTGTAATGACAATTGACTGAAACATCTGAATTTTGACTATTGTAATCACACCAACTCTTAAAAATATAGAGTGTTAAAAAAAAGGTTAGAGTCTGGCTAATGAAAGAAGATAACGAAAAAGCGCGGCAAATAAATTAAAATAGTATTGTATCCCTAAAAGTTTGATATATTTGGATTAAACTTACTTGATACTTGATTTTATTATATTATTTTTTACATTGATAGTAACTGTATTTCTATGAAATTAATTACTATGCGTATTTAGTCTTTTACTATTGATACTTAAAATTACTAGCATTGCATGGGAAACTAAAACTATATTTATTATAAAACACAACTTTATTCGGAATAATCAAAATCAGAATCCAAAAAATCTAAATGCATAGATTCATCAGAGTCATTGCTGTTATCACTGTCTCTCACATTGATTATGAAACTTTCTAAATTTTCCTCTGTAGTCCTGTGATTATACCTGTAAACTATTCGGAAAAAATATATAATAGAAATAAAAATGAGTAATTGGGTATTTGAAAAAAAATTTTATTGATTTTTTTTTATGTATTTTAAAACTTTATTGTTAATAATATTGATGTTTAATGCAAAAAGCTTGAAAAAAATCTGTTTTCAATTAATTATAAACAATTAAAAATTGATGAAATTTAAATAAAAATCACGTGACTATAAACACGCCATGAATGATCACCATAGTTTTGACGTCATAATGTTAAAGCTATTTAATAACAGTACAGCGTTAACGGCTATTAATATATATGTATATATATAGTATATTTCATATATTAAATATTAATATTAATTAACAAAATTAAATAGATCAAAACACTGTATTTATTATTTTTCTATCAAATGCAATGAGTGAAAACTAACATTATGACGTCACACGCGCTCGGGATTGTTCGGCGTGTTTTCGGTACTGGATTCAAATATTAATTTTTATTTTGAAATAACTTTTGAATTATTGCGAAAAAAAATAAAACAAAAATAGTTTTGTTATAAAACTTTTATATGATCTTTTCATTTATCACAAAAAAATTTTTTTTTCAAAAACCCTAACCTAAGAAATTCAAACACCACACATAAACAATCTTGTTTTTGGTAGAATTCAGCTTCTTTTTCTTGGAATTTGGATATCCGAAAAAGTTCAAATAATTCAATTATCTTCTTTCATTAGCCAGACTCTACCTCCTAAATAAAATACAGCACCGATCACCGATGTCTGTGTAATTCAGATTTGACACGCGAGACGCGAATTATTATGAGTGTCAGCTGTCGTAATATTATTGTAGGAAGTGGTGATAGTGGGTGTTTTTTTACTTATCTAGTTCTCTTGTTCAGAAAACCTGCGAGAGGACTGGTGTCTCCTGCACACATCTCCAATAATAATTCTAATATTCATAGGAAAGTGAGGGCCCGCCATCTTGCGAGTCCCTAGTCCTACACTTTTGTTGCAGTGATAAGTGATTGATGTATTTCACTATTCTATTCCAGAAATCTATAGCTTCTTAATATTTCAAATAACTTCTCGGTAGTTACTTAGGAGGGTGGTCTTTTTTATATATAAAAGGGACTCCACGTTGTAGAGTTTCGATTTCAGACACAAGTTTGTTTCGGTACTCGTTGACAACTGCCCGAGAAATACCTGCATGGCTCGTGTAAAGAGTATCCCCTATGCTGTCGTCCGCATAGCAATGAAGGCTGCTAAGTTGCAACATATAATATATATGAAGAAGAAACAGTGTCGGGGATAGGACACAGCTTTGTGGGATTAACCAGTAATTTCACGGGTTTAAGGTCGGAAACTCCGTCGATGACGACCTTGATGGTGGGCTGTTAAAACTTGCCACCGATTGGCACCGCAGAAACTGGAATAAAGAGTTCCATGCCCTGCAGAACCACTTCGGTGACAGAGTCACTACCATTACAGAGTGTACTACCATTTTGTTTGAATATCAGAATCTGTCGGAATACCTTTTTCGCATAATATTGTATGGAGCCTTGAACCAGTACGTTAGGGCGTTTAAAGTTGTTCCAGTATTGCTGTTGGGGATTTTATATATTTATAGGGGATATAGATATAGACATGGCTGAGTATTTTCCAAAAATGAAACTTCTTAAGTTAATTATAGACGATGGAATGATTCTCAAGGTCACACAGGAGTAAAAATATTAACGGTACTATATAATAAGGATAATAATTATTAGATTTGCCCTAAGGGCTAGCGTTATCATAAGAATTAGTATTAGCATAAACATTAGCGTTAGGATTAGGATTATCATAATGACTAGGATAAGCGTTAAGATTAGGATACGGATTAGGATTAGAATTAGCATTAGAATTAAAATTAGCATAAGGACTAGGATAAGCGTTAAGATTAGGATACGGATTAGGATTAGAATTAGCATTAGAATTAAAATTAGCATAAGGACTAGGATAAGCGTTAAGATTAGGATACGGATTAGGATTAGAATTAGCATTAGAATTAAAATTAGCATAAGGACTAGGATAAGCGTTAAGATAAGGATACGGATTAGGATTAGAATTAGCATTAGAATTAAAATTAGCATAAGGACTAGGATAAGCGTTAAGATTAGGATACGGATTAGGATTAGAATTAGCATTAGAATTAAAATTAGCATAAGGACTAGGATAAGCATTAAGATACGAATTAGGATAAGCGCTATAATTACGATTAGTAAGTAGCTTTTGGATTAGGATCACATAAGGACTCGGATCAGGATAAAGATTAAAATTGAAATAAGGATTAGGATGAGTGCTAAGATTATGATAAGCATTAGCAAAAGGATTTGGATTAGGAAAAGCATTTGGTATGGTCGTAATATATAGGCGTTCTAATATTATATTATAGTACTAGTAGCCTTGGTCAATTTATTTTTATATCACAGATAAATAAAAATTCACAAACACCCTGAGCTATATAACTTTAGTAGGGTATTTATGAAATGAAGAGACAAATTTAACGTATCAAAGTTTTCTAACGATCGAAACGAAACATTGATCACATATTGAATTTCATCTATGGCAGTTGCTTTGTAATCCATTATTTACAAAAATAAAAGTCGATAAGTTATCCTTACATTTATTAATAGACACCAATATTATTAAGTATATGTGTAAGTATCATCTGATGCACGTCTCGGAAGACCGTTCGTACGTTGTCGGTGTCCGTTGCTGTTGTGAAGTGGAAATAGCATTCGCGTGTGCGGCTTGCTTCACTTACTACGAAGCGTTCAGCTGATGCTGTTATGTTTCTTCTCTCTCGCTTCTTTGTTAAGTCCTTATAAGAAAAATGAAAAAAATTATATAAAAATTGAAATAAGGCTGGAATAGTGTTTGATTGAATGTTGTACTACCAGTGTCAGCGTCTAATGTTATATTTCATTCTATTTAGTATGATTATTACCTACTTCGCTATGTTTTTTTTTGATTACTCATAAATCCTTATTTTGCCAGTCCTTGAGTTTTTGCAATACTAAAATGTTTTTGAGACTGAAACCTAATTATCACAAAAGCATACTTAAATGGGCCCACCAAACAAATGATCTTTTGTTGCACTAAGTATGACTCTCATATCTCTTCCTATAGATTTGGACATACAGGAATCGTAGTTTACGCTAACTTTTTCTGAATCCCAATCAATCTCGTCTCTGAACTTTACCCTTAGTTGAAAAGTGGTAACAGCTAATAAGCGGCCCATTATACTTTTTTAAAAGTATTTTCTATAAGGAAATGGAAAATAAAACATTATAGCTCAGTAACGCAAGGGACTGTTTAAAAATTTTATTCTCTGTATTATATATAAATATATTTTGATTAATTAATAATTTCTGTTTTTATATTGTCAATATAAAGCTGTCTACACACCGCAGCCGCCGGCCCGCCGGCACGAACCCGGCGGGCAAGGCCGGCGGCCTTAGTTTTAACGAGTTGCGGGGCTGCGCCGCGGCTTCCCGCGGAGCCCCTCCCACTCTTCACCACCGGTTGCCCACCGGCTTTTAAGAAATAGTGACGCGTCAGTGTTTTTATCGACTAAACATTATGGAATCCGTTAATGAAGTGGAGAGAAAAATAAAAAATTTAACAAGTCACTAGCAAGCACTTGGCAATCACTAATTATTGTGAAACTGCATGCGCGACTGTATGTCGGCCGCCGGGAAAATTGTCAGGCTCGCAACTTCTAAAGCCGCCGGTTCGTGCCGGCGGGCCGGGCGGGTGTGAATAGAAAACTCACCATGAAAAGGCTCTTAATAAATAGTTTAGTCCTATTATATTCGTTTCCAGGGGCTTCAAAGTTATCATACTGCGGAAAGTAATTAGCGATTGTGTTACCCCGAGATACTTTGTTCTCGAGAAGATCTTGCTTGTTCAGGAACACTATTAATCCTGCTTCCAGGAGGAATCTGTTGAATATTTGCATACTCCATAAATCCAGATCCAAACTATTTGCAATCCAGAAATTATTATATTATACAATAATTTAATGAAGGATTGTGTACTATAGTCTGTTGACGGTTCCTGGGACATGTGTAACAAGATAGTACATACTAAAAATTAAACAGCAGAATAGAAGGTTGCCCTTGTCACGAGTTTAACTTATTCAAGTAATTTAATAAAATAATTACTATATTGTCTCTTTATGTCCAATTATGACTATTAGAACAGAGCTTACCATTTCTTAAAAGGCCAGCAACGCAGTCTGGCAGTGTGAGTGCCCATGGGCGGTGGTATCACTTAACATCAGGTCAGCCACATAATAATGGAGTATTGTGATAATGAACACCTTACCTACTCTGCCAGACATCTTGGAATAAAACAAGCGACTCAGTCAAT